CGCTTTAAAATTAAGAACATAAATTGTCAGTTATTCCTTCATTTTCTAAAACCGTTATTCTTAAAAATAATTTATATTTGTTACGTATAAAGGGTTTTTCTGTGCTTCCTATAATTAAAAGTCTAAACCAAGTCGTGTGATAAAATGAGAAAAACGGTGATATATTGAATGCTTATTTGTGATAATTCAGCGTTAAATTGTATTAAATGTATTGAAATGTAATACATATACTGTCCGGCATCTAATAAGAATACTTAGAATTTTGAATATTTACAATGGTTTTCATGCTAAATATTTTTCGTAATCTTTTTTTAAATATTTTTCGTAAATTTTTTTATTCAAGGATGGCTCATAAGTATTATAACATAAACATATAAATTCACGTTTCTAACTGTGTTGGAAATTTAGTAGAATTCGGGAAGCTGTTGAAAAACGTCAACATTTTCAAACCGGAGTGGTAAGTATGCATTCCTATAGCCCACGCTTTTGAAGGTATTCTCCTATTTAAATATTTTCGTTCAAGATGCAAGGTTACTCTTTACTACACTAAAATTTGATGGGCTACAAAACTGAATACCTGAAATATCTATAAAAAAAACTCTGATTAAAAAGTTGAAATTTGAAGACAGCTTTAGAGTTCTATCAAGTTTGCAGCACTGTTAGGAATTTGAATTTAAATTGTTCATGGAATATGAGACATACTTAACGAAAAATATTTAAAATGCAAAACATTGGAAATTACAAAAAAAAATCATTGCATAACTACGCTCTTTTGTTTATCTTTTTTTAAATCTGATTAAAAAGTCGAAAATTTTGATGACAAATCGTTAAATTTTCCTTTGTTTTGCATAAAGCTTGAAAACACGGTTTATATGATTTTGTTTTAAGCATGATCAATTTTTTTTATAAAATAATAACAAACAAATTTTAACTCTCAATATTTTGTGAATATTTAAAAAATAAATGGCGTACGCAGACTTTTGCTGTTAAGTGTAACTTAACCAAATTGTATGGTTATATTTTGCTATTAGTTTTAGAGTCTAAAAAAATCGAAAGAATATAGTATAGTACATTTGTGCATCTTTTGTCAGCTTTCGCATGACCAGCATAACATTGATGACAGCGCAACTAGCAACATATGAGTTTCAACCGTCCAGCTCTACATCCCTTTTGCAGTAGTTCAGAGACAGTTCTGAAATTTCTAGGGCGGAACTAGCGCTTTACCAGACTGTCTCTAAATTTTGCTCACACCAACACACAAACGTAATTTTGCACAAATGTTCTTGGAAAATTGCACACTTTTCCGTTAAATGTTGGTGTTTGCTGTTCCCCTCGCCCACTTGTCACCGGCTATGCAACTAAGTATTGCTGCTCTCTATCGCCGCTGCGCTGCGGCTGCCAATATGCAGCATGAAGTTGTGGTCACGTTTCCATAATTTCTACTTTTAACAAAATGGCGCCTTTTCATAAACAATTTTTTATTGTTGTTGTTTTTTTTGTCGTTTTTTTTTTAAATTTCGTTAACTTTGCATTTGGCACTACCGCGTTATTGAGTTAAACTTTAGTTGCATTAAAAAATAAATAAAAAATTAGTGTTAGTCATTTAATTGGTAGCGTAGTGGCCGCAGTAAAGGTGTGTGAGTGGGTGGGTGGTGGTTGGTAAAGAGTTTGCTTGTTGTCATGTGGCATGAGTTGTTCGAGTTTATAACTAAAATATTTGCTACTGACATTCGCTGTTCTTGCTGTTGCTGTTGTTGTTGTTGCCCACGCTACCACTACTGTTGGTGACAGGAAGTTGTAATTTTGTCTGAAATTTCCGATTTTATTGTTTGCCTTTGCGAACGCGCGTCGAGCGTAGTGTTGATATCGAAATTTGCGCATAGTATGATGAAAAGTGCAGTTGAGTGGAATGAATGCAACGTTATGCAAATATTTGCATTGATCCGTTATCCATTGTATGTTTTTATTTTTTTGTTTGCATTTTGCCTAGAAATTCTACCGTCTGTCTATCCGTCCGCGTACACGATAACTCGAGCAAAAATTGAGATATCTCAACGAAATTGGGTACGTAGGTTTCCGTTAACCCAAGGTAGGTTGGTGTTGAAAATTGGCGAAATCGGACTGTAACCACGGCCACTTCCCATATAACGGTAATTATCGGAAATACGAAAATCGCGATATTTTAGTAACTAGTGAAGATTATACACTCAAAATTGATATTTACAACAATTTTCAGACGATAAATAAGAATATTATAAATTTTTTGGGTAATGGGCGTAGCCACGCCCACTTATGGTTACATGTGTATATCTTTGTAACCGCTGCACCAATTTCTTCCAAACTTGGCACAGTTGTTAGTCTTGCTACGGTATACCAAATGGCCGAAAATTTTTAAAATCGGACAATAACCACGCCTACATCCCATATAACGGTAATTTGGAGAAATACGAAATCTTCGATAAATCAGTATATATTAAAGCTAATTTATTCAAAATTGATGCTTGCAACAATTCTTTACCAAGAAATACGTTTAGGATACAATTTTGAAAAATGGGCGTGGCACCGCCCACTTATGATCACATATATGTATCTCGGTAACCGTTCTACCAATTTGTACCAAACTCGGTGTGGTTATTATGCCTGCCACATAAAAAAAAAATTATTGAAATCGAACTAAAATTACGGCCGCTTTTCATATAACGGTAAATTTCAGATATGCTTGAAATTTCAATATTTCGAAATTTAAGGACGCTAATTTACTCAAAATTGGCACACCCCGGCTTACCATATAGCGGTAGCTTTCGTAAAGGTGAAAAACATATATTTATTACGTGCGCCGGGTATTTAATGTTCGGCTCCGCCCGAATTTAGACTTTCTTACTTGTTATAACTAACATAACGGTTTTCTGCAAAATCCTAAAGGAATATATATAGACATTAGACTGCATCACCAAAAAAAAAATTGCGGTTTTCTGCCGGGATTACAAAATTTATTTTATTTTAAGACGTCAACCAAAATATTAAGATTTAAGCGAGCTGGACCGATTTCAAGACACCTCAAAAAATTGAGTTTTTTTATGTGTAAAATTAGTTTCTTATAGAACTTTTTGAAAAAAGTCCGCTCAGATGACAAAACAGATTAGGCTTAAAATATCTGCATAAAAATATTAAAAATCCTTTCAACGGGATCTCGGTAGAAAGGTATTTTCCCACTATTTTTATTTATGTGCGAAACAAGTCGTTCGTACCCCAATTTTTTTTTAATACCAACACATCTTTATTCAACTTTGAATGGTATTCGTTCATCCTACCTTTCTCTTTCATCCTTTGAATGAGTTTATTAGCAAAGGAGTAAAAAGGGTGAGAAAATACCTTTCCAAAGATACCTCACAAGTCTAAATCGGATGGTTTAGGTTCAGTTATTCAAGTTTTTCTTATACCAATCTTTGAAAAAAGTTAAATAAAACAGCATCAAAAATCTCATTATTGCCATTCGGTTCAATTTTTTATTTTTTTAATTCTTATGTAAATTTTTTAAGCCTAAACCCATGGTGATATAAATATAAGGTGATGTCACTTACATAACCTCACTTTTTCTGCATGCCAATTGCGGTCATGCATTTGAGGGTAGTAGAAAAAGGGGGAAAAAATTTGGATTATTTTTACTACTTTTTGGGTACTATTTCCAATACTGATTTCGAATATATACATATGGACATATATTCAAAGCTCTCGCTATCAGTGTATTTTCCTATAAGAAATACTTTTGTTTAACTGTTTAAATTCAATGAATAGGCATACAAACAAAAAAATTGTGTATGTATATCATTTTATGGATTTATTCAAATCTTTAATACGAAAATGCATTCTACACTTAAAAAAAAGTTTTTTGACATTTTCCGCCATGTGAGAAGTTTTTGAGGCGTTAAGCATTTCTTGCATATAATTTGGACCGCAATAAATTTCCTTCCCATTAAATTTTATAAAAATGGTTTCTAAGAACAATAACTCCTTCACAAACGCAGAACTAGGCTTTATTAAACCGCCTTTCGACAATTCATCAACCCAAGTGAACGTATTGTCCGTGGACTCCATACCAGTTAAATGAAGCTTGCGGATAATATAGCCAGCTATATACTCGACCGCGTCCTCGTGGAACTGGTCTATGTCGCTCTCTATGTTAAAATCATCTGCGGAGACGATGGAGGCGTCAGACTCGCCTAGATATTCCGAGATGTAGTCACAATGAGGTATGTCTCTCAGTGGAAGCCAGTTGGTATCATCTTCGCCAACATTTCCTCTTCCAGGGAGGAGTGCTGTGTTTTGTGCTAAATTTTACATGAAAGGTACAAAATACGCATACTAATTAAATATATTACAGAAAATCTTTTATAAGCGTATCTTACCAAGAAGATATTTTCGAAGCCGGTATTTGAATTGCATCGGTGTTGGATTATCGTGCAACCCACCCCTCGCCCTCATTGCACCGAAAAAGTTCTCCAACACATCTTGGTTCAGCCGATAGGTTAGCAAATACCGCAAACCAAATTTTTCTTGCAGACAATAGAACAACGACCGTAGAGATTCGTTGCTCATCAAAATTCCTTTCTGGAAAGGAAGAAGCGTTCTACTACTGGTTACCTTTGCATTGAGGGCAATGGAGTCCATTGTTTCTAAAACTTTCGTCTGTTGCTCCATATCTACCCCAAATGGCCTTTTCGAAGGAATAGTTTGTATCGTGGTCATCTTTGTGTTCATTAAGTCGAACCAATCATTAATGGCGTCAATGAAGTCAGCTGTTTCTAGCGGATTATAAAGCTCTTCCCCCATTTGATAACATCGCCTTATAACGCTAGCTGTGGTGTGGGAAAACAGCTGGGCCACGTAGACGTACCACATACATAAGAGGTAGGTTAAAATTAAAAAAAAAAAAATAAAAACTATTTTCCGCCCTTCATTTATTCTTATTAAAACAAATAAAATTAAACCGTTCTCTTTATTTAATTATATTTAACTTCTAATAAAAATAACATATCATCAAGTATGGAATTTTATTTGTATTTTTTTTCCTTAAGTTCTGAAGTATATATGCGTACTAAGTTTTTAAATAACTTAACTTTAACGGGAATTTTATTACAAACTATATTTTCGTTACCATTTAAAACTTACACATCTAAATTCTATCTGTTATATTATTAAATAATTATACGTTTAAGTGGCTAGACCGAAGTCCCTCATCATAGTCATCCGAGCGGAAACGCTTGGAGATAAGTACCGAAACCGTGATTAGTGTGAGCCATGGTGTATTAATAATTATATCATTACAAGATGGTGTAAGCATGGGTGTAAGCCAAAAACAAATAAAAAAATAAGTTACCAATTTGATTCATTGGCAATTGCTAAATTCTTACCTGAAACGCAATTGAAAAATCCCTAGTTGTAGAAGGTGATGATGCTGCTGGTGTGCACTACTCCAAAAATCTGTTGGAAGAAACACAAACATAAAGACTGGTTAGGGTTTGATAATATAAATGTTTTGGATTTCATAATTTCCTACCTGGAACTTGCTTATTAAAACGCTGCTGGTAGCGCAGCTTGGCGAGACACTGCTCCAAAAATCTGATGGAAGAAACACAAACATAAAGACTGGTTAGATTCTGATGATATAAATATGTTGGATTTAACAATTTCCTACCTGGAACTTGCTTATAACACCGCTGTTGGTAGCGCCGCTGATGAGACACTGCCCCAATAAACAACTGTAGCCAGCTCTAAAACTTAAAAGGTGCTGTTCTAAAAACCTTTTGTGAGAAAAATACATTAGTTTGGTGAATGCATTTAGTTTGCGAAACTTACCTGGAATTATCTTGAATAAATCGCTGCTTTTTGCGGGATAATAGCTCAACCTATTTGAAGAAATATATAAACAATTAAATTTCATCAATATGCACATATATATGTATATATTTTAGCAAAAATTTACTTACAAAATCACAATTATTGCAAACTATCGCTCAGATTTTCCAATAAATTTGAAACGAAAAGTCAGAGAAAAGGAGACTCAAAGAAATAGTGATACCTACGCTTACTTTTTTCACAAGATTGTTGTCTGCTACATTTTTTGTTCTATTTTGCCCAGAAAGGAAATTGTAATAAAGAGAGTAGGCATTACTGTAACGCTGGTATGCCGAAATTGCCAAAACTACAACAACCACCCCCTAAGTGACAACACCTTATTATTATTTCACCATGCCTAAACCGTTTTGTCATTTGAGGGAACTTTTTCAAAAATCATCTTTAAGAAACTATTTTTATTCATGAAAAACTCCATTTTTGGAGGCAATTTGAACTCGGTCCAGCTAATGTTAATATTTTTCCGAAATATTTTGGTGGACGTCTTAAAATATTTTAGATTTTATAATTCCAATGGAAAAATAGTACCGATTTTTTTTTTATGGGGGGTGATGCAGTCTAATATCCAGTCGATGTTCCTATGCAATAACGACACAATTCAAAATTCAAAAAGTAAAAACCCTTATTACTACTAAGTGGCGCATATCTCTAATCTTTCTCGAACCCATGTCTAATCTTTAGGATTGTGTCGTTATTGCAGAGGACCATCGATATATAAATACCAAAATACTCCGAGGGAAAAGAGAAATTGACTAAGCCATTTATATCTGTCTGTCCAGTTTGGTTCGTAGGTTGCGGCTTAGTCAAGGTAAGTTGGTATTGAAAATTTAGAAAATCGGACAATAACCACGCCTACTTCCCAAGTAACGGTAGTTTGCAGTTATCAACTCAGTTAGATAGGGAGACCAAAAATAAGTTTAAAAGTTTGAAATTTTGATAAAAATTTGTTAAATTATTTCTAATATTGTACTAGGTTTGAAGCATTGATTTAAAGGGTTTGGTTATTTCACAGCTTCCCATCTGCCATTTCCTATGAGCAGCTCTTTGGCCATGTGTATAGTCCTATGAGTTAATATGCATGTGTGCTTTTTTTATGTGCATCTTGCTCTGTGCATAACACATATGTATGAATGGCCTCGTATATGCATAAAAACATATGACTCCACTATCGCATATGTGCACTGCTTCATGGTGTTGCACGACAGCAGAAAATGGCATAATTGTAAGCTGTCATGTCACACTTCAAATGCAATGAGACAAAAATTGAAATATATGTAAATTTTTGGTTTTCGGTATACCACCAACCAACTCACGCCAAATCCATTCTTGCAGACATACGAAAGGACGTACAAATAAACATACACTGAGCCAAAAGTACAATGGTTTTTTCAACCGAGTTATTGCTTGGTTTTTTCATTGTTAATACACCGATTGTTGAAAATGTGATTCAATTTGAACATTAGAAAACCAATTCATGTGCCTGGCTGTAGTTGAAAGTGCAGAAGTGCTTACTGTTATTTGTTGGCTTCCAGAAGGTTCGAGTATGAATGCCGTCAGCGGCAACACATAATTTTTATTTTTTTCTGTTTTTTAGTTTTTCTTTATTACGAAAAAGTATCTGTGAAGTGCAGAACCAAATTAAACGACGAAGAAAATTAATTCCTATTGAACATTTAAAGACAAATTTATAAAGCGGCTGTAGGTGAGTGTGTAGAGATGCCTGCTTTTATTTTGCAAATCCCGTAAGAGGTAACGTGTTAAAATGATTATAAAAATTGTTGTTTTGTATCTTCGAATTATCAAAAAGCATCTGTGAAGTGCAGAAAATAAGCGTGTTCAAACAAAAAAGTCGTCAACCTAAAGTTTGTTTAATGTAAACAAAATTGTGGTTAATATTACCAAATCATTGTAGAAAATATTAATAATATAACTAAAAATCACGTTGATTCCTTTTCAAGTTTGAATTTGGTAATATTAACCAATTTTTGGTTGATTTTTCTCTCAGTGTATATACCTACCCGGCAGAAAAAAATTATCAATTGATAAAAAATTACAAGCTTGGAGTTAATTTTTTTGTGGGGTTTCTACAAAATATACAACTTGTAGTTAGCTACAGTAAGCTAACTTGAGACTAGGTGAGAAGTAATTCAGAGTAATGCAGACGTATTAGGGATTGTTTTCTTTTTTTAACCGACTTCCAAAAAAGGAGGAGGTTATCAGTTCGTCGGAATATTTTTTTTTTTTTTTATGTATGTTACCGCATAACTTTGCACCACGTCAACCGATTTGAATAATTCTTTTTGCAACGGAAAGGTAGTGTCTCAGAGGTTTGGTTTGGTTTAGATCCGATCATTGGATCATGAAATATATAGACATATATATATTTTTTTTAAGGCGGTTTTTTTTTTGCTAAAAATTACTTGTTTTAATACACTCTCTGCACTTCACAAATAGTTTTTCGAATTGAGAACAAATAAAAGGAAGATCGACATTTTATATTATCATTTTGAAGTTACATATGTCTGACGGAGTTCGAATATTGGACCACCCATAGCAGAATATGTGAACAAATATGAAATGTAATAAAATAAAGTAAATATATAAAATTGTTAAGAAAACAAAATAAAAAATATTTTGTTATCAATTCAGATATGTCACTGACTTGTATTTTTAAAATTATACTTAAAGTCATTTGTATATATCGTAGTAAACTCTACAACACCTTTTTAACTGCAAAAAATTATAATGATATACGTATGATTTAAAAAATAAAAGTCAGTGACTGATTTTTATTGCTGACTTTTACAAATAAAAGTCTTCAATAACTGTTATCTAAGACATATAATATAAAAATCATATAATTTAGAGATTATTTAAATAAAAATCAAAAACAATTGTTATTTTGGATTTGTAAAATAAAAATCAAAAATACTTAACTGTTATTTTTTTAAACTTTGCATCAAAATTACGAATGAAAATTTATTTTCAAATTTGATTCTCGGTGAAAGAAAGAAATCGATTGGCATGTATCGTTTACACTCAACAAAAAAATTGTCATCAGAGCGATTTCTAGTATCAATTTGATATTTACCCACATAAGTTTCATCCCTCTATCAAAAAATAAGGCTTTAAATACTTTGTTTTCAATTTAAATTTTTTTTATTCGTATAAAGCAAACGCCTTTTACATTATGGTACATGTGAATAGGCGGTCCTTCGCAATTAATTATATTATTAATTTGTGGGATGTTTTCTTTAATACCAACTTCATAGCATTGGTAGTGCTCATTAAAACATTTTATATTATAACACTCACTTAAAATATAGATTTCATTGCGATGACTTAAGAGAATATGTTTGATTTTGTGTAAAGTTATTACACTTGTTGTAAGAGTTAAGAAGTAATCTCTTTTATAAATCAATTCACTGTATATTAACTTTTCTATTATCATATTTTGAAAATTTTCATTTAAATTTGATAGTGCATATGCAAAATTTCTGTTTAAGCGGTTTCTTGAACAAACGAATATACTCTTCGTTATGCTTTTGTATAAGAATCGATAGGTTATTTATAATACTAGCGTCAAATTTACTTTGGAGTAATATATCAACTATTTTTACCATATTAATAACGTGTTTCCAGGCACTAAATCGCCAATTATTAATGTAATAAAATGCGCTAAAGTCATTATTTCACGCGCAGATGTTTTAATCGAAACATTTTTAAGCTTTGTTTCACCATAGTCAAACAAATTTTTCCGGTAATTGAAATTTTCGAATGAAAACAATTTTTCTCAAAATAAAATGCAAGAGAATTTCACAAATATTGTACCTACAAGCACTTTCAAACCAGTCATGCATAATGTCTACAGCAAAATTATTTGTGGCATGAAAATGCTTCAATTGATTAAATAAACAGTTCGATTTAATACCTGTTAACTCAACATTATTTTGCAAAACCGAATTTTCATAGATTTCTACGCCTCTGGAATATTAAGGGTGAGCTAAACTATCTATTGCCATTTCCTCTTTCGAACGAATACAAAAGCTACAATATAAATTTGAGTTAAAGGATGTGGTAAATCCAACTATATCGTATATATATTTATACCCGAGCGCACTTGTGCACAAGGGTATTATAACTTTGTTCACATAACGGTTGTTTGTAACAGGCAAAACGAATCGAGATAGATATAGACAAATGTATACATAAATGATCAGAATGAAAAGAGAAATCGATTAAGCGGTGACTGTCTGTCCGTCCGTCCGTCTGTCCGTCCGTCTGTGCACACGATAACTCGAGTAAACATTAAGTTATTTAAACGAAACTTGGTACGTATACTTATTTCGGCCGTAGGACGGATGGTATTGAAAATGGGCAAAATCGGACAATAACCACGCCTACCTCCCATATAACGGTAATTTTCAGAAATACGAAAACTGCGATATTTTAGTAACTACTGAAGATTATTCACTCAAAATTAGTATTTGCAATAACTTTTAGACGAAAAATAAGAATATTATAATTTTTTGGAAAATGGGCGTAGCCACGCCCACTTATGGATACATGTGTATATCTTGGTAACCGCTGCACCAATTTCTTCCAAACTTGGCACAGTTGTTAGTCTTGCTACAGCATACCAATCGGACAATAACCACGCCTACCACCCACATAACGGTAATTTGGAGAAATACGAAATCTTCGATAAATCAATAAATATTAAAGCTAATTTATTCAAAATTAATGCTTGCAACAATTCTCTACCAAGAAATACGTTTAGGATAAAATTTTGGAAAATGGGCGTGACACCGCCCACTTATGATCACATATATGTATCTCGGTAACCGTTCTACCAATTTGTACCAAACTCGGTATGGTTATTGTGCTTACCACATAAAAAATTATTGAAATCGGACTAAAATTGAGGCCGCTTTTCATATAACGGTAAATTTCAGAACTGCTTGAAACTTCAAAATTTCGAAATTTAAGGACTCGAATTTATTCAAAATTGATACGCCCCAGCTTACCATGTAGCGGTAGCTTTCGGAAATCATATATTTAATACTTGCGCCGGGTATTTAATGTTCGGCTCCGCCCGAACTTAGACTTTCTTACTTGTTTTAAATTAGCTTTAATTCTATAATTCTGAAAGATATTTTAATTCTTTATATTTTGGTATATTAATTACAGCAAATAGCCAAGTAATAACGAAAATATTGGTCACAATAA